ACACAGTCCTGAGGAATTAAGCCTTTTCAATTCTCTCCTACCTTGGTTCTGGATAGTACATGGTGAAATGGAACAGTAACCTGAAATGTACAGTCAGCTCAGCACACAATGAGCGAGGCTACACGATGTTTATGGATGAGCATCTCAGAATTGAGAAAAAGGTGGAAACTTCATGAAAAACCATGACATAAGTGATAAAATAATGCACTTTGAGTTAAACAAATAGCCTCTAAAAGTTACAATAAACTAATTGAAGCAGGGTGAGGAGCTGTGGGAGCTGGTGTCAGTTCAGGGCTCACAGCATCTCTCACAGTACATGCCAAGAGCACAGGAGAGAATTATTTTTTAGATGCAGGGAGATGAGTGTAGAAGCACTGATATAACATAGCCAGCCCTGATCTTCTACACAGACCTCTGACTCTGTGCTTCCTCCTTACAGTGCTATAAGATCTACTCACATCATTATCTTACAAAGCCAGAGGAAATGCAAAGGACAAATTACTATTCCTCATTTTCTCCAAAAAATAAAATCCATTTGAAAAATAGTTCTTCAATAAAGTATTGTTTTAAATATACATATAATTAGTTCTCAAAGACAGAGAAATTCTAGAGATGAATATAATTCTAAGTATCACCTACCTACTCCACTAGGATTAGAAAGAGATAAAATGTTTCACACAGAAAAAATAATTAAAAAGCAGGAAGGTTTTTATATGAAAAAGTATAATTCAACCTGGAAGTATAAATTCTATACATTTACTACATAGGAAATAAATGATTAATGTGTATAGATATGCACTAAAAATCAGCTCAAACTATATAGAACATTTATAATATTTTCTAAGTTCTGAGTATGATCTTTGAAAACCTCTCTATCAGCTGTACATTTTATTGAATGGCAGGTTCTATTGAAAGTACATACTGCAATTACCATTTATGAAAAACATGTATTCCATTTAACTTTCTTTTAAGTACTAAGCAAACAATCTATTAGTCTTTTATCTGATTATTTCAAGCACTGGTGTCAACTTTGGAAGACTGACATATTTTCATACTATAGAAAACATACCAGTATCTTCTTTCCTGAATATTTCCTTAGAAAAATTCAAATATATATTCAGTGTAGAATTCACTGTCATATAGAAAGCAAGAACTTACTATTATCTTCATCCAAACTTGCAGAGAGTAGTGGCAATTTTATTGAATTTTTTTTTATTGAGATAGCAATTCTTTCACAGATCTTAAAATACTCATAGATTTTTTTGCATTCTACTCCTTTGAGGTTAGTCTATTCTAGTTTGAAAGGATATTGCTTATTTTGCTTTATAACATTTTATATCTATTAGGTAAAGAACATACTTAAAATTTTACATTTTTTAGTAGTGTCTAACTTTGCTTTACCGTCAATTTTAGAATTATTTATTGACATTTCCTTATGAAATTCATCTGGTACTCATAATAATTTGATTAGTCTTGGAAAACTCTCTGCACCACAAAAAATTACCAGCCTGGTACACTTGTATATTACTCTATGATGAATTCTTCACATTATTTTTACTAAATGCTTGTTAAGTATACACAGAAAGAAATTTCTGCTGTTCATAATTTATTCAGGTATGTTATAGCAGTAAAAACACACTGAGGCACACATGTCTGATTACTATAATTACAATTTGTTCTTAGAAAATTTTATTTATTTAAGGGAACTTCTAAAACACTGGTAATAAGAATTTTTAACCTCCTGATGATAATGTAATTTCATATGTTTAGTATAATCCTGTTAAATTTATACTCGCTGTTGAATTTCCTATTATTAAAGCACCATTCTACTTATCTTTTATTGAATTTTATTTTTAAAACAAGAATGAACATTGGATATTATATAATATCCTTGCAACTTTACAAGTTATAATTATATACCAACATACTTTCTCTCATTTACACAGTAATTGGAAAAGTCAAATGTTAAGAGATTTAAAAAATCTAGAACCATCCTTACATTTCTGTAACAAATCCTAGATAGTAGTTACTGAATTACTTTCTTATAACATCTAGAATTGACATTCAATTTTAATTTACTTTTACCCATAATTGAAAGCTTGCTTTGTATTTTTTTTAAATTTGCTTATTTTTATTATATGTATGTGAATGTTTTGCCTACATGTATGTAAGTGCATTGTATGTGTGCCTGGTGCCCAGAGGCTAAAAGCTGGCACAGATGGTTGGAAACCACCATGTAGTGCTGGGAACCAAACCCAGGTACACTGGAAGAGCAGCAAGTGCTCTTAACTACTGAGCTGTCTCTCCAACTCCAATAAATTTTAAAAATATTTTTGTGCTAGATTTGTCTTGTCTTGTTATTAAGGTGAAATGAGATTAAATAGCACAATTTTCTGCAAGTCAATCTTCCTACTAACTAAGCACAGCTAGAAGTAAAAAAACCAGACAATTTTCTTTAAAGACATCAGAATTCAAACCAGGCAGTACTGGCACATGCCTTTAATCCCAGCACTCGGGAGGCAGAGGCAGGCAGATCTCTGAGTTTGAGGCCAGCCTGGTCTACAGAGCTAGCTCCAAGACAGCCAGAGCTACACAGAAAAACCCTGTCTCAAACAAACAAACAAACAAACAAACAAACAAACAAACAAGACATCAGAATACTATGAACAAGGAAGATTAAAAAAAATAAAACTGCAGAAAAGGCAGAACCTTTCTAATGTGATCTGAGTGAGGATCAGCAACTGTCCTTGGCGACACTGGCCAAATTCCAGCATAGGCAATAAACAGAGAACCAGAATTGGGTCCCAGGGTCCCAGGGTCCCAGGGTCCCAGGGTCCCAGGGTCCCAGGGTCCCAGGGTCCCAGGGTCCCAGGGTCCCAGGGTCCCAGGGTCCC